ATGTTGCAGAACCTGCATACCGCTGTTTTTTTCTTATTAGCACCATCGACAACATGATCCTTGAATCGAAACATGACTATTTTTGGAGTAACGCTAGCCGCAGCCATGTTAACTGACACTCCTGCCTTCTAGTGGGTTGCCAGGGTCTGCGCGCACACATTAAAAAAAACTAAACGTAATATCTCAATACAAAAACAAACATTAAGTCAAGCTTAAGTTCAAGTCTCAAGTCATGAATACCAAGTCAAAGTCAAGTCAAGTCTTTTATCAATGTTAGTCAAGCAGGTCTCAAGTCCAAAAATATTCGACTCGAGTCGGACTCGAGTCAAGTCATGTGACTCGAGTCCCCACCTCTGGTATACATTTACAATGCAACTAATAGACAACACAAGCCTAACAATCGTTTGGATTCTGTATTTATTGTTACAGTTTTCACTCCATGTCATGGTGAAGGAGTTACCAGTAAAGTTTCCCAACTACAACGATGACTCTTTTTCTTCATTTTGAGAGCAGTTTAACCTTGTGTTAAGTCTGCGGCTCTTACGTCCGGATAAGAACATTATATAAGTTATTCAGCTTCACTGAGTATTTGCATTGTCAGCCGTACTTACACGACATTTAAATTTGGCTGGTAATTTGACTGTTTATACACAGGGTTGTCCATGGGGTCTTAAAAAGTATTAAAAGTTCATAAATCAATTTAGCAAAAATTAAGGCTATTTCAAAGTATTAAACGGCATTGTCCAAGGAATTACATTGTGTAGCTTGTTTTCAATAAGTATATGAATTGTACAAAGAGGTTGTATTCTACAGTGTGCCTGAATGTAATCATTGCGTAGGTATGTAGTGTGATTATGTGTAGTTTATTTGTGGCATCCCGTTGGGTTTGACGTCATCTGAACAGGACATCGCACGCTCACTGACTGATAGCGCGCGAAGGTCCGTTTACGCCGGTTGTTACAACAACATCGTTATGGGGAAGGCAAGTTTGCGTCCAAATGGTTGGAAGGAGGAGGGAAAATCAATACTGTATATAGTAAATGTGAGTTAAAGTGCCAATGTAACCGGTTAAAACTCAAAGTGGCGATGAGGTCTAAAATGTATGGAAAGGGTCTTAAAAAAGGTCTTAAAAGGTATTACATTTGACTTCAGGATTCCTGCATATACCCTGATACAACACATTCTCACTCCCCAACTCGGCCCATGTTGACGTTATGTCAGGGCCCCTGTCGTCACTTTCCAACGCAAGGGGGGGGCCCGTTAGCGTCGAGTTTCAACTATCAGGGCGTCCCATTGACTTGCATAGAGCTCACTGAACGTTGGTAATAGAGGAGTTGGGATCGCGGCTAAATGCTCTCCGCAGATCCATTCTCACAGCGTTTATCAACCTTTTTCTAACTCAATATCAAGCCACACTTATTGTTTTTACTTCTTTATTTTAATTGAATAATGTAGGACTTTTGTTGCCGTCAGTAGTGGAGAGAGTAGGGGCTCAGAATACTGAAATATGTGTTGTTTCATCGTTTTTTCTTTCTAATATTGTATTATTTTCTAAACCACACTGTTATTTACTCAACAATAACACATATTTATCCTGGTAGGCAGAGTGGGAGTGAGAATGTGTGTGGTTTATAAGGTCAATATAGCTAAACTCCTGGCAGGCTAATCTTAATGTTTAGCTAATAGCAAAGGTAGCTAACGTTAACTAAAACCACCATGCCATTCATGTTATAAGAGCTTTTCTGCATATTAAAAACATGCTTACAATGTTACAAATTATAAATAACTGACAAAAAATGTATGTGCTTCTGGTTTTGAAAGTTTCTGAAACATACAGCCATCATATTGTGTCCTTTTTCTCAACCAAGGCTGAAAAATACATATTTTAACTGGTAAAATATGCAGTTTTGATCAAACACAAATCAAGATTCTGTTACTGTACTGTTATTTCTCGCCTTAAAACAGACGGACGCCCATTTTGTGCTTAACTTCAAGCGGAATCTTCCCAAACTCGGATAACAATTTAAAAATAGGCAGTGTTGATCAAACATTAACACGCACACACACACACACACACACACACACACACACACACACACACAACACACACACACACCACACACACACACACTCTCAATGAATGAACGACTGAGACTCATGTTTCTTTTTCCCACTCACTTTATTCATTGTTTTTGGTTCCATTAGTAATAAAATCATAATAAAAGTACAACAGCGTGCAACAACCTCTCCATTGGGAATGACTTCAGTCTGATAATAATTCACTTCCTTTAAAACTCACAACGTCTCAAGTTAAGAAGTTTTGTGCTTCTTCGTGTTTTCATTTTTTGATCTGCGCTTCATTTTTATTCTTGGAAAACAAATATATCAAATGAGCGTAGAGTTTTAGACCATGTTGCTGTGGATTGGGATCATTGAATAATACATCGATGTTTGGCTACACCGTCATCTGATGTGAGCGGGTACTCGTATATGTCCTGAGGTTGCCAGCAGTGACAGGTAATACGTCTCATCTAATCTGGGTCTAATGACAGAGAGGTTGATCTTTTACTGAATGATGTGTGTTGTGTAGGAGTTCCTCGTATCAGCTGATCCTGTGTGTTTCATTGGATGGGATGTTGTTGGTAATGCCTGCTGTATGCTTCACTTCTATTATTTCCCCTAAAGATGTTACATATCTCAATCGTATTATCATTGGACTAAATAAAGTAATACATGTTTTGCTCATAGTAATAAAATCATAATAAAAGTACAACAGCGTGCTCTGAGGAATTACATCTGATCTGAACCTCTTCCTGGGTAGTAATCCACATTTCAGTTCTCATTAACTTCCTGTTTCCCTTCTTTAACACTCAGGTAGCTTTCAGGCTGTGCACATTTAAAAACAGACAGTATATTAAAGAAGAAATGATGTATATATATATTTCCAGTGCACATAGTAAAATCGCCCCTCTAAACCCTTCATTAGACACTTCTGTTATTTCACTAAAGGTTGTTTCTAAATCTAATTGTTACATTTATAGATATAATTGCTCAATGACTGAATCTTATTCGTACGTCACATCAATTGGTGGACTAACCCTAACCCTAACTTTTCTGATCATTTTCTTCATCACATATTAAGATGTTACATTTCTAAATATAATACATGTATTACTAAATAAAGTAATATATGTTTGGCTCATAGTAATAACACCCTAGTAAAGGTACAACAGCGTGCAACAACCTCTCCATTGGGAATGACTTCAGTCTGATAATAATTCACTTCTTTAAAACTCACAACGTCTCAAGTTAAGAAGTTTTGTGCTTCTTCGTGTTTTCATTTTTGATCTGCGCTTCATTTTATTCTTGGAAAACAAATATATCAAATGAGCGTAGAGTTTTAGACCATGTTGCTGTGGATTGGGATCATTGAATAATACATTGATGTTTTGGCTACACCGTCATCTGATGTGAGCGGTACTCGTATATGTCCTGAGGTTGCCAGCAGTGACAGGTAATACGTCTCATCTAATCTGGGTCTAATGACAGAGAGGTGATCTTTTACTGAATGATGTGTGTTGTGTAGGAGTTCCTCGTATCAGCTGATCCTGTGTGTTTCATTGGATGGGATGTTGTTGGTAATGCTGCTGTTTGCTTCACTTCTATTATTCCCCTAAAGATGTTACATATCTCAATCGTATTATTCATTGGACTAAATAAAGTAATACATGTTTTGCTCATAGTAATAAAATCATAATAAAAGTACAACAGCGTTGCTCTGAGGAATTACATCTGATCTGAACCTCTTCCTGGGTAGTAATCCACATTTCAGTTCTCATTCACTTCCTGTTTCCCTTCTTAACACTCAGCTAGCTTTCAGGCTGTGCACCATTTAAAAACAGACAGTATATTAAAGAAGAAATTATATAATATATATATATATATATATTATATATATATATATATATACCAGTGCACATAGTAAAGTAACCCCTTTTGATTATTACCCCCACATCATAAAGAAGTTAAAGCTCAGAATAACTGGAGTCCTCAGGAATAATCTCAGATATAATGTGCCGGCTCAGTTTCACAGCAACAAGACCTTCATTTCCACTGTCAGGCATCAGCTGAGAACACAGAGAAACTGCCTGAGTCATGGTTTATACACTGCTGCTTTTGTTGTTAATCAAGGAACTCTTTAAACATTGTGTTAATCAAGGAAACTCTTTAAACATAGTGTTAATTAAGGAACTCGTTAAACATTGTGTTAATCAAGGAACTCTTTAAACATTGTGTTAATGAAGGAACTCTTTAAACATTGTGTTAATTAAGGAACTCGTTAAACATTGTGTTAATCAAGGAACTCGTTAAACATTGTGTTAATCAAGGAACTCGTTAAACATTGTGTTAATTAAGGAACGTGTTAAACATTGTGTTAATTAAGGAAACTCTTTAAACATTGTGTTAATCAAGGAACTATTTAAACATTGTGTTAATCAAGGAACTCATTAAACATTGTGTTAATCCAAGGAACTCGTTAACATTGTGTTAATTAAGGAACTCGTTAAACATTGTTGTTAATCAAGGAACTCGTTAAACATTGGTGTTAATCAAGGAACTCTTTAAACATTGTGTTAATCAAGGAACTCGTTTAAACATTGGTTAATCAAGGAACTATTTAACATTGTGTTAATCAAGGAACCGTTTAAACATTGTGTTAATCAAGGAACTCGTTAAAACATTGTGTTAATCAAGGAACTCTTTTAAACATTGTATTAATCAAGGAACTCTTTAAACATTGTATTAATTAAGGAACTCGTTAAACATTGTGTTAATCAAGGAACTCTTTAAACATGTATTAATCAAGGAACTCTTTAAACATTGTATTAATTAAGGAACTCGTTAAACATGTGTTAATCAAGGAACTCTTTAAACATTGTATTAATTAAGGAACTCGTCAGGAAGAACAAATGAGGTTGCTGCCTACCATGCAAAGCTCTTCAGTTTCTCCATCCCATAGTGATGAGGGCCGCGTTCCCATCAGCGTATATAGCAGATCTGCGCCTCCTGCGGACCTGCCCCCCCACAGCTCTGTACACAGACAGGAAGTTAGTTTCACAGACAGGAAGTGAGCTTCACAGACAGGAAGTTAGTTTCACAGACAGGAAGTGAGCTTCACAGACAGGAAGTTAGCTCACAGACAGGAAGTGAGCTTTACAGACAGGAAGTTTGCTTCACAGACAGGAAGTTAGCTTCACAGACAGGAAGTTAGCTTAACTTCACACAGGTGTATTAGTACTCAGTGTGTTAGTACTCTGTGTATTAGTACTCTGTGTATTAGTACTCTGTGTCTTAGTAATATGTGTATTAGTACTCTGTGTATTAGTACTCTGTGTGTCAGTACTCTGTGTATTAGTACTCTGTGTGTCAGTATTCTGTGTATTAGTACTCTGTGTATTAGTACTCTGTGTATTAGTACTCTGTGTGTCAGTATGCTGTGTATTAGTACGCTGTGTGTTAGTACTCTGTGTATTAGTACTCTGTGTACTCTGTGTATTAGTACTCTGTGTGTTAGTACTCTGTGTACTCTGTGTATTAGTACTCTGTGTATTAGCACTCTGTGTACTCTGTGTATTAGTACTCTGTGTGTTAGTACTCTGTGTATTGTCACTCTGTGTACTCTGTGTATTAGCACTCTGTGTATTAGCACTCTGTGTACTCTGTGTATTAGTACTCTGTGTGTTAGTACTCTGTGTATTAGAATCTGTGTCCTCTGTGTATTAGTACTCTGTGTACTCTGTGTATTAGCACTCTGTGTATTAGCCACTCTGTGTATTAGTACTCTGTGTATTAGTACTCTGTGTATTAGCACTCTGTGTACTCTGTGTATTATTACTCGTGTATAGTACTCGGTGTATTAGTACTCTGTGTATTAGCACTCTGTGTTTACTATGTGTATATTACTCTGTGTATTGCACTCGTGTATTAGTACTCTGTGTATTAGCACTCTGTGTACTCTGTGTATTAGTACTCTGTGTACTCTGTGTATTAGTACGCTGTGTATTATCACTCTGTGTACTCTGTGTATTAGCACTCTGTGTATTAGTACTATGTGTACTATGTGTATTAGTACTCTGTGTATTATTACTCTGTGTACTCTGTGTATTATAGTACTCTGTGTATTAGCACTATGTGTATTAGTACTCTGTGTATTAGTACTCTGTGTATTGTCACTCTGTGGTACTCTGTGTATTAGCACTCTGTGTTACTCTGTGTATTAGCACTCTGTGTACTCTGTGTATTAGTACTATGTGTACTCTGTGTATTAGTACTCGGTGTATTAACCACTCTGTGTAACTCTGTGTATTAGCACTCTGTGTATTAGTACTCTGTGTACTCTGTGTGTATTAGCACTCGGTGTACTCTGTGTATTAGCACTCGGTGTACTTGTGTATTAGTACTCGGTGTGTACCGGAGTGCAGGGCCTGGCCCCTGTGTGGGGCACAGCTCCAGTTTGCAGTGCAGGTAGATTTCACTGCTTGCTCCAGAGAACTCGAACATGTTGAAGGAGAGAACACGCTGGACGTTCCCTGTCCGTTTCCCTGCATCTGCACCGTATCATCAGCAGGGTTCGGACATCGCCCGGAGACAGGAAATACACACCATGAAGTCTCAGAGTTCATTCTGTTCCAAACAGTCAGAGTTCATTCTGTTCTAACAGTCAGAGTTCATTCTGTTCCAACAGTCAGAGTTATTATGTTCTAACAGTCAGAGTTCACTTCTGTTCCAACAGTCAGAGTTTATTCTGTTCCAACAGTCAGAGTTCATTCTGTTCTAACAGTCAGAGTTTATTCTGTTCTAACAGTCAGAGTTTATTCTGTTTCTAACAGTCAGAGTTTATTCTGTTCCAACAGTCAGAGTTTATTATGTTCCAACAGTCAGAGTTCATTCTGTTCCAACAGTCAGAGTTTATTCTGTTCCAACAGTCAGAGTTTATTCTGTTCTAACAGTCAGAGTTTATTCTGTTCCAACAGTCAGAGTTTATTCTGTTCCAACAGTCAGAGTTTATTCTGTTCCAACAGTCAGAGTTTATTCTGTTCCAACAGTCAGAGTTTATTTCCTCACCCGTTGATGATGAGTTCGTATCGCAGATTACTGTCAGGTGATGCCTGATTGGTTGCCCAGCAGGAGTCTGTCACCATGGCGACCATGTTGGCGTCCAGCCCCACCGCCTCCAGCTGCAGCCAGACCGTCTGGTTCAGCAGGATCTCCGTGTTCGGGCCGACCGGCTGCAGGAGGCCGGCGTCGCTGAAGGAGCTCATCGTCAGAGTGTAGTTCCACTCTCCAGATACAAGCTGCTGCACCACAGAGCTGCACACACACACACACACACACACACACACACACACACACACACACACACACACACACACACACACACACACACACACACACACACACACACACACACACACACACACACACACACACACACACACACACACACACACACAGTTTAGCAGTGTGACGCTTGGAGCTGTGGTACATTAAGGACCAGGTGACGCTCACCTGTCTTTGATCCTGAAGGACACACTCCTGACCTCTGGCTGTGTGTACTTGCAGGAGAAGTCGATCTGGAACTGGTCGCTGCGGGTGATGACTCCGCCTGATGAGCTGTTCGAGGACATGATGGAGTTCTCGTAGAAGATCTGGCTGTTGTTTCTCTGCAATGTGACAGAAAATGAGTTCATTTAACCCGTTAAGCCCGAGAGACCCCGGTACCGGGGCCCTCCCGCAACATATGTCAGGAAACAGTGTCTGAGGGCATGTTCATTTAATAAACTATGAATGTTTTGTATCCATGTAACGGGAAGAAACTCATCTAACTGATCTTTTCTTTTTTAAATCCCACAATGCTAACGCTGAGCCTCTGAATTAGCAACGAGCGAAAAATGCTAACAGATTTACTGCACCGAAACTCACTCACAAAACCTTATTATTGATCCATTCTGCACATCCAACCCATCGCTCTGATCGTGAGATGACACAGAATCGATGGGTACAGACATTATCACTCAATGATACGAACTTGCGACTTTATAAACAAAAAAGACATCAAAGCATGTGGCGCTAGGTAGCTAGAAACGCTAACATGGCTTACCTGTGTCGTAGTCTGGTCAAAAACAGTCAGAAAGATGTCAATCACCAAAATCGACAAAGGGGGCCAGAGATATGGAAAATCCACCCAAAAGACCCCAGAAGTGTTTTTGTTGTTGCTAAATCTGTCTAAAAAGGTCAGATTTCACTTGTTTTGCATCAATCTTGATACAGGGTACTTATTATATGTTGTACTTTGGATTCCTAAAGCTTTTAGTCTACTAACCAGTCTACTGATCAGATCACAGCAGGCTCCGCCCCGCTAGTTTGCAGACCATCAAAACACCGGTGAAAAATGAGCGAGGCACAGGAGGACAATACCGGCGAGAATGAAGATTTACTTCCAAAAAGAAAAGCAACATCTGCCATCTGGAACTATTTTGGATACAAAAAGGTTCTTCTCTTCTTCATTCACAGATGAGTTTTCACTATAAGTAAAACAATTATTTTTGGACGGACAATAATTTACAGTTTTTTACAAGTTCAATCTGAATTTTCTTTAAAATTTAAAACATCTATATTGATTCTGACTTTTCTACATCCAACTCACTGGTTTATCATTGCTTTGAGAAAACAGATTAGTAATTGAACCCTTTTAGAAGATATGGTCATTTGTTCTGGGAATGTCATTTTCGAGCCTGAGACCTGAACAACAGGCTCGGGGCTTAACAGGTTAACGGCCGTGGCCACATTATTCCAGTGCTCACTGCTGACGGTTCCATCCTGACAGAGAACGGTCAGTGTTGGAGTTCACAGTCCAAACCATCCAGGTCATAAATCACATGGTCTCTAATCAATAAAGGGAACTAGAGGAGATGCTCTCCCGGTATTTAATTAAAGTTAAACAGGGTGACTGAAGCCTGTTCCTTCCCTTCCATCGATCATTAAGCTCTTCTGAGGGCTGCAGGTGTCAATAACCAACTGAACAGGGACTTCAGTTAAGCAGCTCACATGCTTCTCGTTTGCCCAAAGCGCTCTGAAAATAACCCGCCTTGAGTCTAGAGGAAGTGATAACCACGCACCATGAGCTCCGTCCCGCAGGGGGCGCTGCTGTTGAAGCTGAAGGTCACCAGGTGGCTCTGGGGGTCCATGTGGCCCTTGCAGCTGGGGTCTTTGAGGTGTAAGGTGGAGAAGTCGATGCCTTTTGTGCCAGCAGACATCCAGCCAGAACCACAGAGGCCGAGTCCTGCCTGCAGACCGTGGGATCGCCTGCAACCACACCGACACTTCAACGACACACCGACACTTCACACACCGACACTTCAACCACACACCGACACTTCAACGACACACCGACACTTCAACCGCACACCGACCACTTCAACCGCACACCGACACTTCTACAACCGCACACCGACACTTCAACCGCACACCGACACTTCAACCGCACACCGACACTGCACACCGACACTTCAACCGCACACCGACACTTCAACAGCACACCGACACTTCAACCGCACACCGACACTTCAACCGCACACCGACACTTCAACCGCACACCGACACTTCAACCGCACACCGACACTTCAACCGCACACCGACACTTCAACCGCACACCGACACTTCAACCGCACACCGACACTTCAACCGCACACCGACACTTCAACCGCACACCGACACTTCAACAGCACACCGACACTTCAACCGCACACCGACACTTCAACGCACACCGACACTTCAACCGCACACCGACACTTCAACCGCACACCGACACTTCAACCGCACACCGACACGTCAACGACACACAGACACTTCAACCACACACCGACACTTCAACAACACACCGACACTTCAACCGCACACCGACACTTCAACGACACACAGACACTTCAACCACACACCGACACTTCAACAACACACCGACACTTCAACCGCACACCGACACTTCAACCGCACACCGACACTTCAACCACACACCAACCGCACACCGACACTTCAACCGCACACCGACACTTCAACCGCCCCACACCGGACACTTCAACGCACACCACCGACACTTCAACGACACACCGGACACAGTTCAACCGCACACCGGACCACTTCAACCGCACGCCCACCGACACTTCAACGCACACCGACCACTTCACACCCACACACCGACACTTCAACCGCCACAACCGACACTTCAACGCACACCGGACACTTCCAACGGCACACCGACACTTCCCCCCCAACCGCCACACCGACCACTTCAACCGCACCCACCGACACTTCAACCACACACCGACCACTTCATACCCACACACCGACACTTCAACCACACACCGCACACTTTCAACCACACACCGACACTTCAACCCACCACCGGACCAATTCAACGACACACCGACACTTCAACGACACACCGACACTTCAACGTGGACTATAACGGGCAGTGGAGTTACTGACAGAATGTATTTGACACTATAATGAAGCTGTTTCTAATTCCACACTAAAACAATATATTTCTTCTGGCAGAGCTCAGCATCAAAGCAGCTGTTAGCAGCAGGCTGTTGGTAATAACCACATCCCTAATTCAGACCAGTTGCAAGCAGAGGAAACGGTGTGATATGCTCCGTACCGAAAGACTTGGTGGCGTTGTACTTGGAGGCGAACAGAGCCCTGCAGAAGCAGCGGCTCGAACCTAACTCCTCTCCACAGAACTCATGATCACTGCAGGGCTGCTGACAGAGAGGGGGGGGGGCTCTTCACACACACACACACACACACACACACACACACACACACACACACACACACACACACACACACACACACACACACACACATCACAACACACACACACACACACACACACACACACACACACACACACACACACACACACACAACACACACACACACACACACACACCACACACACACACCACACACACACACACACACAACCACACACACACACACACACACACACACACACACACACACACCACACACACACACACACACACACACACACACACACACACACACACACACACACACACACACACACACACCACACACACACACACACACACACACACACACACACACCTTAATTCATGTATCTTCTTCTTTACTTTGTTTTCCATTTATTAGGGAGCCTTGGCTTCTGGTTGATTTTAGGATACATTTGATCAAATATGTCTGCTTGACTGCACGAGTTCCAGTACGAATGGGAAATAGAGAATCTTACAGCAGCCAGAAGTTGACCTCCAGTCCTCCAGGGTCACTTTGGCTTCCAGGCTGCAGGCCTTGGCGTAAGCCTCCAAAAAGTGGCAGTCGACCCCATCCACTGACGGGTATCTGCACAGAGTGTGTGTGCAGGCGCTGATGTACGGCTCTGGGTCGGTGTGCTCGTGACAGGCGGAGAAGGGAGGCTGCCTCATGAGATTACAGCTGTTCAGAGGGAAGAGTTTTCCGTGTTACATTGGTTGATCTTGCAGAAACAACGCTGCTTATATGGCATGACAAGACGAGGGTGTTCATGGCTCAGCTCTTACTGGTCGGTGGAGCGGTTGCAGTTGATGGTGCTGTCGACTGAGTCCTGGGATTGAATCTCACAGCTAGAGGGAGACAAAGATCACATCACATCTGAACCCTAATCATGACAAATAGGTAATATCAGTCAGACTGAGCGGTACCCAGGGAGGCTGACAGAGGACTTCTCGGCAGTCAGGCTGGTGGTCCAGCTGGAGTTGGAGGGGCTGCCACACAAACCCTCTACAGCTTCAGGAAGTCCTGGTGGATGTGAGGGTACAATTAAAGCTATGCTTCAGAAATAATATGTAATATTCAGTCCAGATTGGAAGTACTGTTCTGTACCTGCCACATGTGCGCTGTTGCCATCGAAAAGAGAGTCATGTTGGAGGACGGGAACTTAGCAGTGACTCAGTCTGGTCCTTGGAGAGCTCCTACGCCGTGGCATCAGCTGAGCTGGGCGGTTGGAGCACCAGGGCGTCACCACCAACCGACACACACACACACACACACACACACACACACACACACCACCACACACACACACACACACACACCACACACACACACACCACACACACAGCACACACCTACACACACACACACACACCACACACACACACACACACACACACACACACACAACAACCACACACACACACTACAACACACACCACACACACACCACAACACACACCGCAACACACACACACTACACACCCACACCACACTACAACACACACCGCAACACACACCGCAACACACACCGCAACACACACCACAACACACACACACACACAACACCACACACACACACACACCACACACACCACACACAGGGTTTGTTATTACACCACCACACAGTTAACTCCTAGCAGGAAATGGTCAGCATTGCTTGAGCACCCATAACTACAACCGTGCTACCGTACCCGAACTCTTCTCCTTGCTCCAGATACATGGTCACACCTGGCAGCGACCAGGATCAGGTGGTCCAGAAGAGGAACATCTGTACGCTGGCGCTCCCTGAAGGCGGCCGTGAGGTTGAAGCTGGCGCTGCCTTCAGGCTCCATCAGACTGTAGGCACAGCGATCCTGGACAGAGTGCACTGCTCCGTGGAAACCAATCACCGTGGAGCCCGTCACCGTGCACACCACCGGAGGAGGAGCAGCGCACCTGATGGACATTCAATTCAACATTCAATTCAAAGGTTTCATTGTCATATGCACAAAGCTGCAGTGTAGAGATGGCAATGACATGCTTCGGACCTGAGCTCCTGCAACGATGCAACATATATAATAAAATACAAACATAAAAAGTAGTGCAAAAAGTCTATAAACATGTAAATAGAATATGATATGTAAAATAAGACATGGAGAGGGACTCACAGTCTGGGTCTTTTTAAGACAGACATACTTTACACTCATCCTAAACTCAAAGGAAATGAACCCTTCTCAAAGTTCACAATATGACACATAAAGGTCAGTAGAGTTACATTCAGCCTGTGAAACACGTACAAATATAATAATATCTCTCTCATAAATACGTGTGGAATACTAAACATCTTGAAGTATTTTATACAACAGGCCATACAGTGATATTGTGTTGCATTATGGGTAATGCTCAACTCTACTTGGGACAACCCGGATATCTGCGGTTTGGTCTTATGGACGCAGCACTACAGTACTGATGGAGCTGGCCTCGGAGGATTGAAACATGTGTAAAGCATGGAGGAGAGGTCAAAGGATCACTTTATAGGAACACTGCACACACACCGAGACGCTGTGCATCCATCTGGATCTCTTTTCAGAAAGTGTCCATCACGAGGCCCACCATGGCAAAGAAGTGCAATGGGAAATAAGTGGAGAAGGTTTTTTAGGATTTATAGACTGAACCGTTCCCCAGCTGATCAGAAACAATAATGGATGGACTTGAAAGCCCTTTCCACTGAAATGAGAGCCGTGTTAGTTGGGACGGTTGGTTCTCAATGTTGGACCAGTTACCTGTTCATCCGACAGCACTGTTTACGTCCCTGCATTTTCCAGCAAAGCCAGCTCAGGCAAAAACTACAGCAATGGCGGCTGCATTGGAGCTGTGCTCTCGTTGCTCTTCTTCAGATCCAGGTTGAACTGTTCCCACTAGGATTCAGAGGCATTCCCCGTTGCTTTAGTGACAGTCAGTAATTCACTGCTGACTGTCTCTAAAGCAACAGATGCAGATTTCCCCAGTGATTCATATTTTGTTCAGTTTTAATGTGCAATGTTTGACGTTACCTGCAAACGTTTCCCTGTATCATATGGATGATGTTAGCATAGCCAGCCTGATGAAGCAACAACCAGATTAAGAGCCATCAAACTAAATTAAACGTATTTAAAATAATAACACATGATGAACATTAGATGGTTACGGCGTTTTAATTATTCTCCATAAATGCACATGTTGCTATCATTGTGTCATTTGTCGTTTCTACCGGCGTTCTTTCAATAGGATTTCACTTGTGATCTGATATGACAACTTGTGTAGCCTACGGTATGAAGTGATCACACCTGAAAGCTGGTTTAAAAACAACAGGAGAACGGGTCGTGCTGCTCCTCAAAGCGGGCCATGAGAGCGAGCGTATCTCTACGTTTGCCCGGGGAAAGTGGCGGGACATAAACAAAAGTGTGAGTCTCGTTTTGGTCACTTTGCTCGGCTCTAGTGATCTGACCCAGCCTCCACACAGATCTGGTTCTTGGTTCCAGTCCAGCAGAGCTCTGGTTCCTAACACGAACCAGTTTTTCTCATGGAAACCATGAAAGGACTGGAGAGCTATCGGGCACTAGCTCTGAACTGACCCTGGAACTGCTTTGGTGGAAAGGGGTGATAGAAATAGGAATCAGATTCATCAATAACTGCAATAATCCTCAGGTGGATAATATCCTCACTCTCTCATGGAGGGTTCGATCACATGGGACACTTTATTCAAATCAGTCAGACCTTTATTCCTGATAGAAAGAGCACATATTTACGTGTTGTCCGCTTGGCAAACCTCCTCGGGCCCACATGCTGTGACATTAGCGAGGACTGCAGACAGAGAACACAGTTCAACAGAGCAGGGCTCTGCGCTGGGCATCTCTGAACCCGGCATTACAGCGCCACCTTGGAGGAGAATGGAGGTAATGATATTACACTTCAGTGACTACAGGCAGATTTTAAGATAGACATGTTTTAATATCACATTTCACTTAGAGGATCCCTTTCTTTGGGAACCCCCAGACCAGCTTACCTGAGCCTCTGCATCCACTCAGGTCTCGAAAAGGAAATCGTCCTGCAGGAGGCTTCCAGGTATCCATCACTGTGCCACCGACTGTTGTAGACATTTCCTAGTAAAGGATTAAACAGAACATATTTGTATGTATATTATTTATTTAACAGGGACATTGCACACTAAGAACCATTTCTGTAAATGTGCCAGAGTTAGCCAAGAGGCTCTTTTACATCTGTAGTCCCTGGACAGATGTTTGAACCTTAAAAACACATTTCAAATAACTAGTAAACACAATCATTAAAAACAAAGGTAACCTCAATACTGTAAACATGAATGAAAGTGTTCTAGAATCCACTTGTGATATATTTCCTCCGATGTTAGGACATGAAGTGACAGTGAGAGCAGTGGGGAGCTCCTTCATTATTCCAGATTGATATTTCTAATGAACTCCTTTGTCCACTTGAGGGCAGGAAGGAGCAGAACCACCTGGTGCTGTGAGTCCAGCCTGCCCCGTTAGCTCTGCATGCTAGCAGCTACATGTGGTGTCACTGATAATAACTCTCTTTGTCTTCATGCTAACACATGATGCTGAGTGACTTCTGCTTCCTGAAACTCTAAGGCTGAGTATGACATTATTTCTGACACCTATCTCTGTTTAGAAGTGAACATAAGAAGAGAGTTTTAAAAGGAGAGGCTTAGAGGAGCAAACAGACTGCACGTTGTCTTCTCCATTCACCTATCCTTGCTGAACTGAAAGCTTGTTCTGTATTCATATGAATGATGTCTGATGGTGAGACAAAGGAATAATGGATCACACACAGCCTCAGTTCTCATCTCTCAGGGTGGTTAGGGTACAGAAGTCTTCTCAGGGATCAGTTCTCATTCAGAGTGCGTGTGAGGAAGGCTGGAAGACAGCAGCTTTCTAACATAAAGGATTTAGGATATGAGTTTCCCTGGCACACAGAAACAAACAGGAACACATTGCATTGGTATCGGGACCTGACAAAGTGTAACTCTCAACATCGGTGAGGCTGAAGGGTTAGGGTTAGGTAAGAGCCTCATGTCATACTTACTAAACTAGCAGAAAACGGACGGCCAGCAGCATGACCTGTATAGCAAGCAGCTTGTAAACCATGATTGAGGAATACCAACTGCATCTGAAAGCAGGAACAGAAGAGAAATATTAGGAAATGCTTCCAACATTTTACAAATAAACTTTGATTTGAAGTTGTCTTTGCCACACAATGTCTTTGAAATGTTCATTTTGTACAAACAGCTGGACAGCCAGTCGGTGTGTAACAGGGATCGGATCAGGACTCACATTCAATGTTTGAACATTGTAGAACTTGAGAGATCAATCATACCCAGTCCCTGGGTGTTGATGTTAACAAGATCAGAGCGAGCAGAAAATGATCTCTTTTGTACAGAGTACGTCATTTTGGTTGAAACCACCCCGTCGCTGGTCACCAGACAGTCAATGTCGTCCTCAGATGGGTCATTTTTTAAACAAACTTCAACCTTATTGCCGATCTTCACCTGCAAAAACAAAAAGGGAACAACAATATGAAGGCTTTCGCTCCAAAACAGCATCGTTTCCTCTCCTCAAATGTTTGAGCTGCAAGGTGTGCTTTTAGCTACGGAGAAAAAAGATAGGATCAATGATGAGATCAAAACATTTCTCTCACTTTGGAAAAAAGCTTTCTACAAGCCACTGTCCAACAAGTCTTTATGTGTCCTTTCATACAGAGACACATGAGGAATCAAAGAGACGCGTCCAGCTGCTCCAAACCACTTCCTGTTGGCTCTAGTAATGATCTGTCCCCACTCCATTGAACTGATCTGATCAGTGCCTGACCCCATAGACCCCAGAGGGGAATGTCACGCTCACTTTCCAGCTCAGGACCAGACTCACAGTGATGCATTATGGGACCAAGCCTGTCTCAGAGCGTCTGATATTGAATAATATGAGGAGAAACTTTCATAATACCCAAAATAACAGCTGGCACAAAAAGCACACTTTAAACTTTGTGTGTAAAACTCAATTCATTCTCCGCCTGTAGCAACATGTCATTATTCATGTGCTCCCATATTTACAGGCTGACACGCTGAAAGGTAACAAACCGCTTACATCTAGATATAAAGAAGATCAAGACAAAAACACTAAGGGACTGATTCTGAGGACTGTGAGTGATAACATATTAAACAGTGAGTTATGTGTCATATCTATAATAGCTTTATTATGTGTAGTGTTGACAGTTCTGCTGTTTAAGTGGTAGTCCTCCCTGGAACTCTCTGGGTGCAAAGCCTAAGAGTAAATCATTTCCATGGGATTTGGGAGGACGGATAACAGACAGAGCCCAGCGCTCAGAAATCTGTGATGCGACCGGCTGGCCTGCATTGTCATCACCCAGGAGGAGCGCCTCTTCAACCCCTATTCATACTAGGAAACAGCAGTGGACAGCTGCTAAAGGGAGAACTACAAACAATCCTCCTAAACCACTGAGTGTGCCAATCCAGAACAGATACGCTCCGCTGACACAGAACCGGAGATCTCTTTCTGATGACCTGGATAACCTGTCCTCTTCACACAGCAGGGTAAGGACCAATAGCTACTACAAAAGTAAAAGGCTAGAGGGAAAGCTAACGACTGGGCCTGAAACTCTGATTGTGGGTGACTCTGCTGTAAGAGATGTAAAAGGTCTGTGTAATAAGAACAACACCAAAGTACTCTGTTTTCCCAAGGATGTGGTCTCTGACTTGGCTGAGAAGATCCTGCATATTGGGGCTGAACATCCGACTGTGAAGAATGTGGTACTGCACATTGGAACAAATGATGTTGTGAAACAACAGTCAGAAGTGCTGAAAGAAGACTTTAAATGTTTGTTGGAAACTGCCAGCTCTCTAAATGCAGAGGTGTTCATCAGTGGCCCTCTACCGCCAGTCAGAAGAGGAGTGGAGATATTCAGCAGATTGTTTGCACTGAACATCTGGCTTTCAACTGCCTGTACTGACCATTCTGTCAATTATATTGACAACTTTAACTTTTTCTGGGACCGCAGACATTGTTTTAAGGCAAATGGAGTTTGTCTGAACAAGTCAGGAGTGAAATTGTTTATCTTTAACGTATTCAACTGCCTACGTCATCAATCTGTTCCCTCTGCCAAGGACAAGCAGCAAGAGGAATCAAAACACGAGAAAGACACAACACATCGCGCAGAAAACCCTGAATAATTATCACTGCACCCGCCTGAGGAATGTCTTGATTATGGGAGACAAATGGAGGAGTCTCCACCGCCCTGCACCCCCCCTATCACCTCTGAGGATAATCTTCCTTCACCCCACAGCTCTCCCTACTCTCCGTTCACCCTTTCACCCTCGCCCACCCTCCTGGAGATCGCTGAACACACGAAGGAGATACAGAGGGTTGGCACCGATTCCTTCCTGGAGTTCAAAGACCAAACTAAGGCGATACGCAGGGTTGGCAGCATGTCCTTTACCCCCGCTCCTCAACGACGGCCACCAAAATCACCGCAGAGACGCACACCATCTCCCCCGTCTCCATCACCGTGCCTACGTCAACCACCTCCCCTCCATTCAAGAAAGCATCTGCAGTGTCCGAAGCCTGATAAGGATGTGTGTGTACAAAACGCAACAAACTCTTACTGATATGTGCTGGGTCCAGGCTCAAGGGCGTATGGCACTCTCAACTCTTTCCAGGACATGTCGGGGCCCTGCCTGCCAGTAGCTTTGCCGATATCTGTGTTGATAGGTAATAGATTAAGAGCGGTGAATCATCTTAGAAACAGGAAGCGCTCAAACGTTTGTGTGAGTGTATCTAATGTAGCAGTGATTCCATGTCAGCCACAGCTTGTTACAAAAAACATGACTGATAGTGTGTTTAACGAACTTAAACTAGCTTTATTAAATGTCAGGTCTTTGGCAGGAAAAACAATTTTAATCAATGATTTTATCACTGAGCACAATCTCGATTTTATGTTTTTAACAGAAACTTGGATTGAACAGAATAACAGTGCAGCTGTTCTTATCGAATCAACCCCTCCCAACTTTAGTTGTATGAGTCAGGAAAGAATGCATAAGAAAGGGGGTGGAGTTGCTATTCTGTTCAATGATTCCCTTCAATGCAGGAAGACATCTTATGGGAACTTTGCTTATTTTGAATATGTGGCCCTTCAGCTGAAATGCTCCTCTCGAGCTCTGTTCCTAAATATCTATAGACCACCCAAATACTGTGCAAGCTTTTTTCATGACTTTACTGAACTGCTGTCTATAGTGTGTATTGACTTTGACCGTCTAGTCATTGTTGGTGATTTTAACATCCATGTTGACAACCCCCAGGACAGAGGGGCTAAAGAACTGTTTTGTGTTCTTGATAGCTATGGACTGACTCAGCATGTGACGGAGCCCACGCACAATAAGGGGCACACTCTGGACTTAATTATCTCAAAGGGTCTGAATATCTCTAAGGTTGTGGTGACTGATGTTGCACTCTCTGACCATTCCTGTGTGTTCTTTGAGAGCTCTATTTCTGTTCACAAAAATGTTCAAAAAGAGGTAACCACAAAGCGATATTTAACTGAAAACACTAGGGAAATGTTTACTCAGAATTTTTCTTCCACACTTGCCCCTGCTAACATCTCAGTAAATGAGCTAGTAGATCATTTTAATTCAAACATTTAAAATGTTATAGATGTCATTGCTCCAACTAAAGTAAATGAAGTGTCTGGCAAGAAAATATCTCCATGGAGAAAGGCCATGACCGTGAAAACAGAAAAAAGAGAGTGTCGAAAAGCTGAACGTAGGTGGCGAAAAACAAATCTCCAGGTTCACTTTGAAATCTATAAAGAGAGACTTGGCCTTTATAATTTGGAATTGAAAAACGCACGACAATCGTTCTTCTCTGACATCATTACCAAAAACAGACTAACCGTCGACAGACTAACTAACCCCCCAGTGTCAGTAGCCTCTGAATTTCTATCCAATGATTTTGCCTTCTTCACTGACAACATTCAGAAAATCAGACAAGCAGTCAGTGCCTCTGCATCAGGTACAGCAAATGTGTTGTCTCTGTGTCCACCTAATATCAATTCAAACACCATGACACAATTCCATCAGATTAATGATAAAAACCTAGAGGACATTATTCAACTTCTGAAATCCTCCTCTTGCTGCCTTGATACTATTCCAACAGGATTTTTCAAAGATGTTTTTCGTTGCATGGCCTCAGATCTACTTCATATAGTAAACAAGTCTCTTCACTCAGGTATTTTTCCACAGGCCCTGAAAACTGCAGTCATTAAACTGCTCTTAAAAAAGAATAATCTAGATGCTTCAGTAATGAACAATTACAGGCCCATATCAAACCTGCCATTTCTAGGTAAAATCATTGAAAAAGTTGTTTTTCAACAGTTGAGTAATTTCTTGCATTTAAATAACTGTTTCGATGTGTTCCAGTCAGGCTTTCGTCCAAACCACAGCACTGAGACTGCTCTTGTAAAGGTCTTTAATGACATCCACTTAAACACAGACAGTGGCAGAACTTCAGTGTTAGTATTATTAGATCTCAGTGCTGCGTTTGACACTGTTGACCACAGCATATTACTAGACCGACTGGAGAACTGGGTGGGACTTTCGGAAACAGTTCTGAATTGGTTTGAATCCTACTTAAAGGACAGAAACAACTTTGTTTCTATAGGTAAATACACATCTGAGTTGACAAATATGACATGTGGGGTTCCTCAAGGCTCCATCTTGGGGCCTTTTCTCTTTAACATCTACATGCTACCACTGGCTCAGATAATGAAGAACAACAAAATAAGTTACCATAGCTATGCAGATGACACACACATTTACGTAACAATTTCACCAGGAGACTATGCTCCAATTCAAACACTGAGTAAGTGCATTGAACAAATCAATGACTGGATGTGTCAGAACTTTCTCCAATTAAACAAAGATAAAACTGAGGTAATGGTTTTTGGAGCCAAGTCAGAACGTATAAAAGTTAGCGCTGAGCTTCAGTCTGCAATGTTCAAAACAACAGATAGAGCCAGAAATCTAGGTGTAGTCATGGACTCTGACCTGAGTTTCAACAGTCACATTAAAACAGTTCCTAAATCAGCCTACTATCACCTAAAGAATATATCTAGGATTAAA